AAAATAGAAAGCTGGTCTTTTATTCTCTGCTTATTTGTGCATCCATACTCTGTGTGTGTGTGTGTGTGTGTGTGTGTGTGTGTGTGTGTGTGTGTGTGTGTGTGTGTGTGTGTGTGTGTGTGTGTACTGGGCTTGATTTCAGATCCTCAGGCTCTCCCTTTTCTAGCTCAAAGTTGATGCTCTACCACTTGATCTACATCTCTACCTCCACTTCTGGCAGTTTGCTGGTTAACTGGAGATAAGAGACTCAGGAACTTGAGTCTCAGGAACTTTTGGGTCCCATTTGGCTTCAAACTGGGATCCTTAGATCCTAGCCCTTGAGTAGCTAGGATTACAGGCATTAGCTATCAGCACCCAGTCCTACAATTCTTAATGGACCTTTTTTTTGGGGGGGGGGGTTCCTTCCTGCTTCTGGTGCCAGGTCTTCCACTTTTTTAAGCCCAGGAGGGTTTTTACATTCCCCTCCCAACTCCTTCTCCCCCCCCCCCCCACCCCCACATACTACTTATCTCCAGACTTTCTAAGAGCAGTTAACTTCTTTGTAAAATTTCCCTCTGCTCCTTTGACATGCAACTTTCCAGGTCTCTAGCCTGTGTTACAATCTAAGAATGACTTTCTTAAGTCAACACTTGGATGTAATCCTAGAAGTCAGAGTCCTATCTCCTAGTTGCCTAGGGAGAGGAAGTGTTGGACTTCTGATTGCTTACAATTAGCAATTGCTTAATCACCGGACCAAGCTCTCAGCTGAAGACCTCTGATAATTTTCAACTAGCCCTCCAGGGCTTAAAAACCCGCCTATCTATTGTTCCAGTGGATTTGAAGTTAATCTCTCTTCTTATTGCAACAGATTTTAAGAGTTTCTTCTTGCTTAGCTCTGTCTGATGCTGCTTTTCTTTCAAGTTATTTCTAAAGCAGAGTCTGGTGGATTCCTTTGCTTTTTGTATTAAAATATTTCTAGACAAATTTAAGTGGACAAATTAACAAGTTCCTCATTGTTCTCTGTGTAGACAACACAGATTCCTGGAAGAAGCTGTGTTCCTTACATTCAAAGACTTATTACATGTGGTTCTGACCAAACTCAGTCAAAAAATTAATTTAAAAGAAATCAAAAGAAAGTTCAAAATCTGAAATTAGAAATTCTTGCACATGCATAGCATATCTGTAAGCTCTCAATCAGTTGTGTTTAAATCATTTTGTGATCAGCTGAGTGTTTACTTGACCTTAATTTTGTGAAAATCTACCTCCCCAAAAGCAAAAGTGAGTGTCCCTAAAACCAAGGGAAAAGCTAATGTGCTTAGTACAAGTGATAAAGCAAAAATTTTAGCGTCACTGAAAGACGGCATGTCTTTAGTGGCAGCTGGGTGGCATTATGGGAAAAATGAATGGAGTACTGTACCAAACTATGTAAATCCAGAACATTCTTTTCTGTATACCATAGCATCTCCTGAAAACCATATACCACAAGAGTCTATCTACTTTTGAAATCTACATGATAATTTTGTCTGACAATAGTTTTTAGTTTGGTTTTTTTAGTCAACAGATATTAATATTAATTATGACTTTCACTATGACATTTTTATTTGCGTAAATATAGTGCACATTAAAAAATCATATTCATGCCTCTAGTATCCTATCTCCTCTATTAGCCCCTCCCCCTTCTCTCATTGGTCTCCTTTCTCTTTCCCAACATTCCCCATTCTACTTTCATGCCTTTGTTTGTTTGTTTGTTTGTTTTTAAACCATGATTCAGCAGATGAAAACAAACATGAGACATTTATCTTCTGAGTCTGGGTTATCTGCTTTAACATGGTATCTCTAGTTCTGTTCGTTTTCCTGAAAATGACAAAATAGCTTCCTTCTGCTGATAGAGCTGGGGTCATTTATATCTTTTTCTAACTATTTAAATATATCCATCTGTCTATATGCCATTCTGCCTATCTAGATTGCTCCTTGTGAAGACAGTCAACTGTTTTGTCAAGTGGAATTCTACTTTGAGAGGACCTTCCTAAAATTGATCTGAACACATTGCTCAAACCAATGCATTATTAAGATCATGTATGTTTATCTGTCTTTGACTGACATCTGAGTCTTTCCTATATCTGGGGGAGACAGATATAGATGTGTTGGGCTTGGCTTGCTTTGTTGTTTTGATTATCAACCAGTAGAGCTTATAAGACCATTGAATAGGCATCATGGCAATCCCAGGCAGTTTTCATAAAAGGTACAGTTAGAATTTGGGATATGAATGCCCAATTATCCTATATCTCACTATTTAGATTTAGAGTTGTTCTGTTTCTATGACTACAAAATTGGTCTTGCTTTCTTTGAGTTAGGCAATTTTGAATCAGTAACATTAGTTGCACAATATCTCTTTATTCCTGCCTGGTTTTGCATCAGGAACAGGAGAAGCTGTGTACCTAAGCTCAGCTAAATATCTACAAAATCATTAAATAAGGATGTTTCTGTAATTTTTAGTGAGCCAGCTGCTACACTCTTTAGTGGTTCAAAAATAAGTTCCAAGATTTCTGCCAGATTTCATTTTTAAAAAATAATAACTACTAATATTTTGTCCATGCCCAACAGAACACTAGTCTAGGATGTAAGAAATCTTCTCTTTTCTTTTTCATTCTTGTTCTACTTTGGATTTTGTTCAGATGGGCAAGTTATGACACGTTTTTGAGGGGTTTTCCCCCAAGTATAGTTTCCATACATTTCCAGACAATGTATTTTTCTAAAATAATCACCTATTATTGTCAATCAACACATAAGCAATTCTATGTATTCTATGGGGTACAAGGTAATGTTTTGATCTATACACATTGTAAAAGGTTTAATCAAGCTAATTAGCACATCCATCGCCTTACTAACTTACTGTCTTGAGGAGAGAATGTTAAAAATCTGTTACTTGGTGCTGGGAAGGTGGCTCAGTGGTAGAGTGCTTCCCTTGCATGCATGAGGCCCTGTGTTCAATTCCTCAGCACTACATAAGCAGAAAAAGCCAGAAGTGGTGCTGTGACTCAAGTGGTAGAGCAGTAGCCTTGAGCTGAAGAGTTGAGGGACAGCACTCAGGCCCAGAGTTCAGGCTCCATGATGGACAAAAAAAAAAAACCTATTACTTTAATAATTTCTAAATATACAATACATTTTGAGCCATAGTCACATACAGTGCAATAGAACACTAAAATTTATTGCTCTGGTTTGAAACTTTGGCAAGCAATATGTGGCTTCTTGTTCACAAAGATGTGAATTCACACAAATGATTATAATTCTAGGGGATCGGTGATGGATTGGGGGTCAGTAAAATTCAGACTAAAGTAATGGAACCAAATGTGGCTTATGGTATTGGAAGGTCTTGGGTGAAATTGCCACAAACACTTTAAGGTCATTTTTATTTTAGTTTTTAAATTTTTATTGTACTGGTGATATACAGAGGGGTTGCAGTAATATGTACATTTCTTTTTTATCAGTATCTCCTCTTCTCTCATTTTCTCCCAGATTTTCCCCCTCTTTACTTTCCTCCCCTCCAAGCTGTATAGTTCAGTTCCCATACAGTGGCTGGTATCACTGCGGAGACCATTTCTGTGTTCCTCTTCCCCTCCCCAAATCAGATAAACATATATAAGACAAAGAGTGTTCAAATAAAAAACAATGACAAAAGGGAATAAAACAGAAAAAAAAGAAAAAAGAAAGAAAGAAAGAACCACAAACCATACAATAATAAAAAAACACCCTCTGGTTTCCATTTCTTGGACTTCATTTCAATAAGCATCATTTTATATGATCATATGCACATAAGCACCTTGTGAGCAGATCTGATCCTCTACTAAGAATATCCTCCTTCGTTCTCATTGTGTGAATGTTTAGAGTGCTGTTTAATTAATCATGTCCAAGTGTAATGTCATCTTTAAAGTAGTGAAAAAATAGTGATGAGTGTGATTGAGATTCCCCACACAAAGTTTAATTTTCTTTCCTCCTAGTTAGTTCTAATACTGCCTTGGTGGTGGAAATGATAAATGAAAATATCAGTCTTATTATCTGGACCTTTATCTTCTTTTGACTCTCATTCTTGCCAATCACTTCTAATCTTTAGAAAGAAGGTTAATTTTTTTTTCTACTTCTGTTTTCAGGGAAAGAGGCTTATATCTCACTCCTATTCTTCCTTACTCATTTCTCAGGGAGGAGAAATCCTTTAAAAAGAGAATTAAACTTTTTTCTTTATAGTACTTGAGATAAGTTCCTTATAAATGAAAAAATAATCTATAAATGATATACTACCATCCAATTAATTATATAAGAACTATCCATTGACATAAACCCATAGTTTTTGTTTCATAGATTCTCCAGTCGAGTTAGGAGTTATTCTTATCTTGGTTTGCTTTGGAAGAAAGTTATTCCTTTTGTTTTCCATGTATATATGTGCATATTTATTGAGACAGGGAGTTCCCTGTGCTGCAGGGATTAGAGTTATGTGCAATCTAGTTCTTCTTCTATGTTTAATAAACCTCACTTGTTTGTAGGACACATTCTCTCATCCATATGTGTTAGAAATGACAGGTTAAAGTTTTGTCCAGTTTTCATACTTAAGTCTTTTTCATATGGCTGGGAGAATTAAACCATTCATTTCACACATTTTACCTAGTGCTTTCACTATGCCAGCCACTGTGATAGTGCTGACATAGACCCTGGAGTTTAGTGGAATGTAGTAATATCAAGACTAAGCATTGTTTATCAGGTGTCTAGGTGTCTGTGTGTAGACATAAATCTACAAGTCCATAAACATTATATATACATATATATATGTAATATGGAATGTGGTATGAATTATGGAAAAAACCTGACTTTCAACCAATATGAGAAAGTTGACAAATGCATGCTTTATGAAAGGGATTTCAGATATTAAGGAAAAGTAGAAGCGCCATAAGGATTAAATGGTTATTTCTAACCTATCCACAAGTAATCAATGAAAATTATAGGGAGTTCGTTAGAAGTTCCATACTTACTCATCTCTGCAAACAGTTGTCTTCTTTCTGCCATGGTATTTCCTCTTTTCCCACTATCTTCAATCATTCTAAGAGACAAAATAATACAATATGTGTCATCTTCACACTCAAATAGCCATTTTAACTACACTTACTGCATTTGTACCATAATTTAATTTTAAACTTAAGTAAATTCCATTTAATTTTAAAAAGAATACAGCTTTCATTTCAGTTATCTAAATCAACGTACATGTTTCCATGTACAATATAGTGGTTGAAAAGGCATATAATGAGTGTGTGTGTGTGTGTGTGTGTGTGTGTGTGTGTGTGATGTGTGTGTGTGTGTGTGTGTGTGTGTGTGTGTGTGTGTGTGTGGTGCTGGTCCTAGTGTGTGAACTCAGGCCCTGGGCACTGACCCTGAACAATTTTATTCAATGTTATTCCTCTACCACTTGAGTCGCACTTCTGGGTTTTTGCTGGTTACTGAAGAGTCTCATGCACTTTCCTGCCTGACCTAGCTTCAAACTGTGAGCCTCAGAGCTCAGCCCCTTAAGAAGCTAATATGGCAAGCATGAGCCACCAACACCCTGCTAATTTTTATTTTTATTACCATAGCAGATAACCTTATGCCATAAGTGAATACAACATAATTGTTAGGTGCATCACTTCATATAGAGTGTCTGTTTTGATTTGGGGAACATCTCTGAAGGTGGTAGGGCAAACTGTATGGATCCTTTTCAGAGCTGGTGAAAATGAGAGTCTCATGGATTCAGCGAATGAAAGACATGGACCTGGGGACTCCAGGACCGACCAGTCTGTCTCCCAACCTCATTCTTCTGCCACGTGTGTCTGTGTACTCCAACCCCAACTTAGAAGCAGATGGTTTTCTACTACTCATTTTTAAACTGGATGCTTGCAATTTGTCACGATTTTCCTATCCATAACAATTTCACACAAGGTGACTAGGTTCACATCTCTTTCCTTGGCTGTACCATTATTGGTTGTGAAACTATTTAGAAATATGAACAAAATGTCAAGGTTAAGAGACAATTAAATAGATACAAAAACATTAAAACTTAGCTTCAGGAGAAAGTAAATGATGAAAAGCTAATAGAAATGTTTAGTTCTATAGGTGGTTTTGGACTAAATATCAAAGGTTTGATGGGTTGAGGGAACTGAATTTTTATTATATCTAATTGAACTTTTTGTTCCTACCGGGGAATGAACCCAATAGGATCTTACACATGTTAGGTTAAGTGTTCTACCCCTGAGATACCTCCTCAGGCTTTTTAACATTTTATTTGGGGATAGAGTCAGTCTCAAATTTGCAGTCCCTCTGCCTCAGTCTCCCAAGTAGAATAAAAGGTGTGTACTAAACAAACACCATGCCAGGCTGCTACTGAATTTTGTAAGATGAAAATATCTTCTCTTATAAATACATGTGCACACATACGAATACCTTTATAACTTCCATGCCATTTCATAGGCATTTTGAACCTGGACATAGCTGCACATCTTTCTGAGTCTTGCAAATGGGACCTTCTCTTTCTCAAATGCAAGCTGTGTCCATGTCCTTTGTAGATCTGGACTGTCTCTGCCTAGCTAAGTAGTTGTAGTCACCCTTTAGGCTTCAGGAGGATCTTACTTTGAAATCTCCCCCAACTCTATGACTGCCTGGATTTCATGTCTTTTTTTCTAAACCTCCATAGAGACCACAGCACTTTTGTCTTGATGCATCTTTTCTCCCTGCTGTGGATGCTCCAAGAAACACACTAAGAATCAAGTCACAATGCCTGCCCTCAAGAGGCTTACATTTTAATTATATTTCTAATATCTGACAGACTAGCTAAGTGAAATCCAAATTGTACCAGCTTCAGAGATTCATTATTTGAAATAAGAGAAACTAATTTATGTTTATTATCATCTAGGATTATACATTTTCAAGAAGATCAGGTTTCAGGAAATAGAAATAGAACAAGATTCAAATGACATGAATGCCAAGGTTTGGTCTATTCACCACCATTTTCTTTGGTTAATTAACTCATAAAAGGGCCATTAGTTACACAGTGCTATATAGTCTTGCTTCTAAGTAAAGTGTGCAGTTTATGAGGAAAAGAAGGAAGAACTTAGTGGGAAATAAGAGGTAGAAAATATAATTATCAGTTATAAAAAGGGAAATAGTACATTTCTCATTTTGCCCTCAGAGACTTCTGGGAAACAACACTTTTAGACTATTTAGTTATTACACATTAATCTTAGTCATCATGACAGAAGGAGGGAGGATGCTAGTTAAAATTGGTTCAATAAATATGTTAGAAACAATAACAAGAAAGAAAAACCATTTGAGTCCTTATCTTGGGGTTCATTTCACCCAACATCAGCTTATCTGACCATTTCTGCTTGTCTCAGACATATACTAGTTATTGCAAATAAGGGAAACCATGGGACCTATATGTTTCTTTGGGCCTGGCTTACTTCACTTAATATAATTTTTTCCAAGTCTTTCCATTTGCTAACAAATGGGGCAATGTCATTCTTTCTGATGGAGGCATAGAATTCCATTGTGTATACAGATCACATTTTCTGATCCATTCATCTACTGAGGGGCATCTGGGTTGGTTCCACATCTTAGCTGTGCTGCAATAAACATAGTTGCGCTGGTAGCTTAGTATGGTCTTGTTTGTGATCATTCGGGTAAATGCCCAAAAGTGGGATTGCTGGGTCATGTGGAGGCTTTTGAGGAACCTTCATACTACTTTCCAAACCATGGTATAACCCCTGTTTTCACTGTATTTTATGTTGGTATAATTTGTGAAGGGGAAGGGGAAAAACAAATCATTTAAATAAGGATACAGGTGGACCCATTGCAACAATGAGATGTACAAGACCTTATGACGAAAAATGAACTTCACAACTTTGATGAGGGGGGCAGGATGAAGACTAAGGGGGCAAAGGGGAAGTGGGGCTGTGGGGGAGATGGGTAGGGATGGTAGGGGAAACAAAGGAGGAGACAGCAATGCTTGATAAGAAATGTACTCATTACCTTGCGCATGTAATTGTAACCCCTCTGTAAGATATTTTCACAATAAAAATATTAAGATACAAAAAATTGGTTCAATAGAGGGACTCTTGAACAAAGTGGTTAAGAATAAGGGACACCACTGTGGGCTCTTTACTAGTCAGTCTAACTTTGACCCTCTGTGTGATTAAAATGCATAGTATTAGACCATGTCCTCATCATTAAATGAATGATGAGCCCTGACAGTGTTCCCTTTATTAGAATTCAGTCCCAGGGATTATACAGGACATATATAATTTATTTGTAAGAAACCACCCATTTATTTATAAGAAATAATTATAAAGTAGCTATCTATTCTCAGATACTTTGATAGTTTCCTGAGATCCAAAGCATCATAAGACATAATCCTTGTCTCTAAGAACTCTCAGTTTAGAAGGGAAAACAAATTTTCCTAATAAATATTTATTTAGTTTGGTGTATTATATATCATGAGAGCATGCATTGTTAGTTATAGTTGTTTATATCCAGGAAGATCTAAGACAGACATCAAAGAAATGATAATTCTGGCACAGAATGTTAAAGGAGAAATACGAATTTTTCACGTGGAAGAGTAAAGAAAAGACAACAACAGTTAGAAAGAATCATGATTTAGAAAACCCCACAGGTCTTTAAAAAGCTCTGGGAAGTGAGTTGTTGACCACTGCTGGGTCCAAGTGTGAGTAGAGGCATTGGAGAGATGAGGAGGAATGAAATCTAGAAAGTATATGACTACATACTATATGATTACAGGGCTTTCAAACATAAGAGAGACTGAGATTCTACAGATCAAATGGGAATCTGACTTACAAAGGTTTGGAGTTTGAGAAAATTGCTTCATTCTGTTGAATGAAAGAAAGACTTGGTATCAGGAGAGTAGGGGTTGGAACTTATGATTAAAGGAAAGTCCGATCTGTTGGATATTCTGTGATTCAGGAACAAGACTATTATGTCTTTTGCTTGAACATTGATCTAGAAGAGATTTAGGAGACACATGGAAGTTACTTAGTGACTGTCAGTTCATGTGGAGATGGCAGAGGAAAGGACCTCAGCTTTCACTGTCCCATGTTGGGAAATAATCTGCCTCCATTGTGATAATGAATTTGTAAGAGAGAGAGGGAAGGTCACAAATGGCTTCTTCCAATGCAGTCATCCAAAAGGAGCTGCGCAACTTGACATCAAGGGCTCCAGCTCTGCCCTATATATGGAGAGGAGTAAAATAAAAGTACGGTTGAGAACCAGCTAGAAATGAAGAACAAATCCAAAAGTAAGTGCAGTTACTAAAAGAAATGTGAATTTTAGCCTAGTGAGAAGAAATTTATTTTGAAATATCATGTCATTAAGTTACCTCCTGCATGAGGCTTCTTGAATGCAACAATTCTCATAATAAATACATTATACATAATAAATAAAGAACCCCAAGATATGGACTCAAATGGTTTTTCTTTCTTGCGATTGTTTCTAACATATTTATAAGATATTTCTTTGTTGTTTTGTATGTCCCTCCCCCACGGTATAACCCCTGTTTTCACTGTATTTGATGTTGGTATAATTTGTGGAGGGGAAGGGAAAAAACAAATTGTTTAGATAGGGATACAAGTTGACCCATTGCAACAGTGAGATATACAAGACATTATGTCAAAAAACGAACTTTACAATTTTGACCCATTGCAACAATGAGATATACAAGACATTATGTCAAAAAATGAACTTTACAACTTTGGCCGGGGGGGGGGGTGGGGGGGGGGAAGGGAGAGGGGAGGGGAAGGGATAGGAAAGGGAACAAAGGAGGAGGCAATAATGCTTGATAAGAAATGTACTCATTACCTTGCTCGTGTAATTGTAACCCCTCTGTACAGTATTTTCACAATTAAAAAAAAATACCGAGGGCTGGGTGCTGGTGGCGCATTCCTGTAATTCTAGCTACTCAGGAGACTAAGATCTGAGGATTGCAGTTTGAAGCCAGCCCAGGAAAAAAAGGCATCCTGAGACTCTTACCTCCAAATAACTACTCAAAACTGGAAATAGATCTGT